TCGTGTGTACAGACGTCACTGCGTTCGGTCTGTACTCACGACCTCGGTCAAGATTCTCCCATACAAACCTCCTGCTCGGTTAATAAGAGCTAAGTACTAATTTCTCGCACATTTTGATATTCTAATACGTATGGAGAGATATGTGTTCAATTCCTTTCTTTTGTAGTGTCTTGGACGTTTTGGAAGTGAACAAAATACTACCAGAGTGAAGACAAACGAGAAGAGAGTAAGTATTTCTAGGACAAAATAGCCGAGTGTTGACTTGAGTTCGATACTCTTGGCACGAAATGCGTTGATAGTTTTTGCTTGAATAGCACTTTTTACAAAAAACACCTGTTTCGTTTCTTTCGTTTAGCGCCGAGTCGTCATCAAAAATCTGATTCATCGCTATTTCTCCGCGACTAAAAAAACACAAAACGACGAGCCCGAAGAAGAATCTCCTCCTCCAGAAGAGATAAAGCAAAAACTAATGGAGGTCACAAAAACATTACAGAGCCTGCAAAATGCGATCAAGCGGTTTCGTCATCAGACCCCAACGGTAAGCTATGATGTGTTAAGCACTAAAGAAGCGAGGCAATAAGGGCAAAAGTTAACAAAACCGCTTTTAAACAGTTTTGTTAACATTTAATTTTAAAAATGCTGAAAAGAAGATCGAACGATGAGTTCATAAAGAGCCACACGCGACTCTTTTCCGTCCTTATATACAGTGTCTGACGCAACAAACACAAGCTCTTCAAGTACAAATATCAATTTGGTAAACAAAGTCCAGGAATTGTCATATTTACCTTTGAAAAGATTAGAGTAACTACACTTCAGCGCTTTGTGATCTCACGGAGCGAATTTTGCGTTTAAAAGGAAAAAAGGGTGTGGTCATTAACTAGGTTCTGTGGGTCAACGCGTGGCTAAGTTTCATTGCGAAGGGAAAAGGTTTTTTTTTAAATTCAAAAATTTATTGGGAAACAAAGAGCCAACACTGATACGTACGGAAGTCAACAAATTAAGGCAGCATTATCGCTTTTGCTATGGCTTCGCGAAATACGATGCATTCACCAAAGTACTAAATTTTAGTTTGAGATTGAGCCAGTCCAGATCAAGCCAGGTGAATTTGGTATGGCAATCATAAAATCACTGCTCGTTTGTATTTTACCGAGGTTTCTGTCATCAGTGTTCCTATTAACACTTTTCAATAATTCGCTATTGTTTTTGCTAACGTAACCCCCTTCATTGATCACTAATTGTATCGGTGCGAGAGAGAAAGATAACGTTGTGAACCGGACATAATTCTTCTGAACGACTTAAGTTTGTTTAACTATTTTACGGCTTCGTTTAAGAACGAGGAGGGGGTGTGCTGGGAAAGTTTTAGTATTTTACTGCATCAAAAAAGTAACATGAAAACTTGTAACTTCTGTGACCCTTCCTCTGCTCACCAAAACAAATAATCTGCTGGATTCCACATGCCATGGGCATTTTTACTGTAGACCTCTACGTTGGTACTATGATTTCACGAACAGATTTCGTATTACATTTTGCGTTATTGCATTATCCGCTAGAAAAGGTATTACATTTTGCGTTAATACTAATCTCACTCTTTCAAGGAATTCATGCATACTTAGAGCTTACTATAGCTAGTTTTCGCCTTTTTTCTTCTTTCAGGATAAGAGAAACAACCAAGAAACTCAAGTAAAGAATGAAGCAGTCCTTTTGAGGGAGCAAGACTCTTAAACGAACCGCTTAATTTGATCTCGACTAAGTCACTTCAAAATGAGCGAATAATGGGATAAATAGGATTATTTCTTGTCTGATGAATTAATTAGTGTAGAAAATCAACGCATTTACTCAGGAGCCAAAAGCAGTTGACACATTATGATGAGCATAAATATTTTTGACCATTTTTAGCTTTGTTTTTAATATATTTGCTGTTATCATTTTCTTCAGGCAAAAAACAGTCACGTTAACTTATCTAAGTGCCAAGATATTTCGCACTGTTGTGCTAATAGGGGCAATACTTGCTTCATTAGCATAAGTGACTCAGTTTGGGATCGAGCTACAAAAAGATCAGTCAATCTTTATGTTGAAACTGCACGATTAATTGTCTTAAGCAATTTTAGCCCCAAGTATTTAACCCTTTTGTGCGACGAAAAAGAATGTCTGAGCTCGTTAGTGCTTTTGGTCTGGAAAGCTAATTTCTCTTTGAATATTACACCCAAAGAGCCCAAGATTTCATCAATCACTAAGTTTCACCAGCTCTTCAAATGATTGGAGTCAATTTCTAACTAGTATGATACCATCTCTGAGCAAAGTCGTCTGTTAATGAGGAGAAATGAACATAATGACGTCTGCAATGACCGCTCTATTGGGACACTATAAATTGAGAAACAAATATTGCAAATAGAACTGAGAACGTATTAAAACTTATAAGAGGTCGAAGCTAAGACTGACCTGTTGGCTATTTAGAAGACGTGGAGGAGTTACATTTGGAACACCGAACACAAATCCATCTAGTGGCATTAGGGAGATTTGAATTCGGGACCTCGGCCACGCACGCAAGAGTGCTGTGTTTTTGCATTAAAGCTCAAAAGTATATACGGCGTGTATATATCTTCAAGTGTCCATTCTTTCATTACTGTTCGCTCTTATACAATTTTAAGATCTGGCTAGATTCTTCTCACTGCGCGACATTTAAAGCTCCTGCTTACTTAGCAGCTTAAGAATTGATCTCCAATTCTGAATTTCTTCCTTGAAGTGTACTTTTATCAACTCTCTTCCCCGGCCGTTTTAAAGACACTTGGTAAAAGAGTTCGTACAAAGAATCTTTTCACCAACTGTTGAATAAGCTGTACAACGTGACTACAAAAGTCACGGCCAAAAGGCCAAAAGTCCTTGGCACACTTGTCAAGCCATATTTACTAACCATCTTTATGCCCTATGTTAAAAAAAAATGGTATTGCAAATTTGCAAAAATCTTGCATATAAACAACAGCAAACGCGTCCTGTTCTCTGCTGGTGAGGGTTCTCCAATACACAGACGGTGTATAAGTTATAGTCCGCTTTTAGCTTTGGAAAATTGGAATGTAGTGTCATTGTCAGTGGTCTACCGAATAC